AAGCAGTTTACTCTCTCACATAACATGAAAACACTGGGAGTCCAAAATGTTAATTATGGCCTGATATTCCACTCATTTTCTATTGACTTTAAAAGCTTTTTTAAATGTACTTTTATGTCCTCCATGGCTCTGTTACTATTACTTGCCTGGCCCTTCTTCTAATTAAAACAGCCCAGGTAAGGTAAACGGGCTGAAACAAAGACCATTACCCAAAGAGGTGAACCCATGCAGACTGGTATTGACAGGAAGTGAGGGTGGACTGTTGAGACTAAAAGACTGCACTGTCAGACAATGGGCAATTTCTCACCTGAAAACAAATTCCGGTAGGTTAACTGGCTTATGGGAAAACTAGCCAGATGGCCTGGTGTGTGTGTGTTTAACTTTGTGTCTGTCTGTCCAATGATGGGCTGGCATTTCATCCAGGGTGTATCCTGCTTTGCTTGCTGGGATAGGATCCTAGCTCCCCCGTGATCCTGCATTGGATAAAGCTGTTAGAAACTGGATGGATAGATTAACTAAAACTTTTTGAACAGGAAACCCAAAGAGTTTCTACATCTTTGTTGTATATCCATGAATGGTGCAATGGTCCTGATACCATTAGAATTATGAAGCTGTTTTGTAGCATGCAATCAATACATAATACAACAACATTACCACTTCATAACTGCAATTCGGTATAGTTTGTGTTTGATTTTGCTTTGGTACTGGATCTCCCTTTTTAACACTGAAGGAAATAAGTCACCAAAGCACATCGCTCAAATCAACATGTTGAAATTCCCTTGAAAAATTATCCATCTCCAATGCATCGAATATTTAACCAGTGAATAAACTGGAAATCACACAGGAGAGGCCCTGCATACAGTACCTACTGGAGTTTGACTTGACATAAAATAAAGTTTAAATAAAGCAGAGAAGATAAAGTCCCTCCCTATTGCTGGAAGTCAGAAAATGTTTCCTCAATTTAATCATGTTACCGTATCTATTTGTTACCCATTATCCCAGATATGAAACATAAGAATGTAAGACATAGTGGAGGCTATTTAACCCAAGGCATCTGGGAATCTGTTTATACCATTCAAAGGTACAGTATATCTGTGGAGTTTTAAATGCCAATCGCCTAGCTCATGTTCAATTCCGTTGTGAGTGCTGAATGATGGAAGCCTAGTGCTGGGTGATCAAGCTGCCCTGAGACACGTCTCTCGTTTCAGTGCTTTGCCCGAGGGAAACTCAAAAGAAATGAATGCCTCTCACTGTAGGTTTTCACTTGGATTCCTTTTTCCAAAATGCATGTTTTGAAAAGCAAAAGCATCTTTCAACAGTGATGAAATCCAAAGCAGACACATTATTGTCAGCTGTGCTTATAGCTTTTATGAACTAAAGCAACAATAAGACCGGGTTACTGTCTTGCAGTTTGTAGCAACTGTGAAGTAGAAAATAAACTGTACTAATCCTTGTACTCATTTTCAGATATAAACATAAACTGCAAATGATGAATTCACAAATAATGGCAGAAAGCCATGTGTTGTCTCTTTTTCTGTATTTATGCATACTGTATATTTCTATATTTATGTATAAATGTCACATCACATCTCTTTCAATAACCACTTATCGAATTCAGGGCCACAGCCACAGGGGCCTTGAGCCTATCCCAGGAAGCACTGGATGCAAAGCAGTATACATTGTGAAGAGAACGCCAGTGTATTGCAGGCCCAAATGGACAGAAACAAGCACACTCTCCCTCCAAGGCCACTTCCTTGAAGACTTTGGACTATGGGAGGAAACTGGAGCACCCTCAGGAAACCCTTCGCAAACCAACGGAGAACATACAGACTCCACACAGATAGTATCCCAGGAATTGAACCCAGGGCTAGAGCACTGCAAGGCAATAATGTAAAAAACTGCTCCACCATGTCACCTGAGCTTATATATTTTTGTATACATTTATGTAGAAATTATATGAATAATCATTTCCCGCCATTATGTTAATTTCTTAAAATTAGAGATATTAATAATAATAAGTGGACAATTTCCCTAATATGTGTAATACATTATAAGGCAGACCATTTAAAACGTGTGTGGGTGTTTTAAGAAGATGGATCTTTTAGAAATAATATTTATATTTTTTGTGCAAGATGGGTAATTCATTAACAATGTTGTAGAAAATATAGTTTCAGTTCTGATTAACATACATGCGTGAATACACTGAAGGGAAAAGGTGCTTTATATTTTGGATTGAGTTCATATCCTTATATGAATGGATTTATGAAGGGTCATGAAACTGTAGTGGACTAATCATTTCCCTTTATGGAAACTTTGGCTTTACACTTTGCTCTCTATCACAGCACCCCTGCTTAGTGTGGAGGTGGACTTCTGCTTATTGGGTGTGTCTCACTGTGTTCCAGCTGAAATTCCAGCAGACACATGCACAAAGCTACTGTATTATAGATGTACAGCTCTGTGGAAAAGAAAACATCTTGTAAAGACAGTTTACTCATAATTTGAAAATCGTGCTAGAGAATTACATTCAGGGCTTCTGTTTATGTTTACATAAAAAAGTATTTTAAAATTGTTTTGAACATCGGTGTTTTTTGTATCTTTTCTCCATTAAATAACCCATCATGAGGTTAAAGTTTCTGCCACTTCTCTTCACTTTGTCTCAGAAATGTGAATAAAATACTTCCACATTTATTACAGCATTGCCCTGTAGTTATATGGTCAGAGATCTTTTTTTTTTGGTTTTAACTCGATTCTTTTTCCACATGATGTTTCACAGCCAGTCATAATGTTCATAATGTTAAAATGTTAATCATACAATTATCCTTTTAATAGAATAGATAGCTCTTTTGTAGATTTTCTACAACAGCCAGTGAATATCTGAGCATAAGATCAGATCACTTTATTGGCCATATACAATTTCTTGCATTAGGAATTCGTCTTTTCGCATACCCCAGCTTGCTCTTCATGAGACACACAGACAGGGAGAGAAGCTTGGGGTCAGAGCGCAGAGTCAGCCATTGTACAGTGCCCCTGGAGCAGTTGGGGTTAACAGCCTTGTTTAGGAGCCCAAGGGGGTAGGATTCCTCTGCTGGCCGCAGGATTTTAACCAGTAACCTTCCAGCCACAGGCACAGATCCTTAGCCACAGTGCCACCACTCTGCCCTAAAGAGCATATGAAGCAATTGAAGGTTTTTAAGTTTCATATATGATGCAGACTGTCATATGCTCAGGTCATTTTGGAGCAAAGAAATTTATTTTCACATACAACTGATATATGTGACGTAATAGCATGAAGGAATACCTCTGGTAAATGCGTTTTAGACTCTAAATTCTGTCTTATCAATGTCATCATACTTTCTCCAACAGAATAGAAATTAGAATGTGAATTATATATATATATTATTTTATTATACAGTTCTAATACATACAGTATATGCATAATATAACATAGATATAGGGCTGCACAGTGGCCAGTATTGCTGCCGTGCAGTGCTGGACCCCTGGGTTTAGTTCCAGACTGGGGTGTTGTGTGAGGTTTGCATGGTATCCCAGTATTTGAGTGGGTTTCTTATACTGTACATGCTCTGGCTTCTGTAAAAAGTGGCCCTGGTGTGAGCGTGTGTGAGTGTGTGTTTTGGTCTGTTGGTGCCCTGAGATGGACTGATACTTATAGTGGAGCTCTTGCAGAGATCCAATGGGTTACATTTCAGGGAATGCACTGGAATGAGGGTAGTTCTGAAAATACTGGGAAACAGGACTAATAATGATGATCAAAATCTCTGGCTTTTAGGATCTGTAAGCATATGCCCTATGTAAAAAACTGAAGTTAACCAGATAGCAACTAAGAACTCAACTGGAGCAAAAATTAGGAGACACAGTCTTACTCCAGGAATAAGGTTAGAAACCAGTACTCTACACAACTAGTGACTATGACAAGGTACAGATTGATATGGGTTTTATTTAACTACAATGAAGTAAAAAGCAGACATTTTGAAAGAAGCAAGATATACTGTGCTCAGATCACTTGGATTTTAAAATTTGATGAAACAGCTTAGCCGTGTAAACACCAAATCGGACCCCAAGGAGTTCACTCTGTGTCAAATTCACACCGAATGCTTCATGTATCATGCTGCAAATCACTACCAGGAAGCCACTCTGAGGAAACGGAGTCCCATAAGATCAATATTAAGTGTAGCTGAAAAAAGAAAAAGTCCATCTTCCATTTCAGACAGCCTGTTGCTTTCTCAGATATCTGTGACGTCACTAACTTGGCAAGACCAGTGTGCTAGATCACCCACACTCATCTCTATCGGACACCTGTGGGATGTTCTTGGGTGACATGTTTCATTGTGGCATTGACACTTACAGTAAGTGAGAGCTTGGGATTTGTTTTACTTATTATTCCAGATGGACCATAGAGAGTATTCAATGCACATTTGCACTTTGTGATTTAATTGCTCTTATTGTGGTGGTGATGGCTCCTTTTTGGGAAAGACCCTCTAAAAAGACCTGTACTGCTCTGTTCTAATTGATGAAAACATAAAACTATAATATAAAAGACGTGTCTTTCATTTTAAAAAGAAATGTCTTAGACAACACACTTCAGAGGGCATTTTGAATGGTCTTCTGGCTCATAAGTTAGTATATTAACATGGCTTTAAAAAACAGTAATTTTTTATTTAAGTTTAACAGAAATGACTCTTCTACTTACAAATTTGTTAATAAATTGTAAAATATCTATTTTTTCTGGAATATTCCATTTTAGAATTCACCACCTGCAATGCAGCTGGCTTTTAACAGTAAATTACAACAGCCTGATACAGCACACATAAAACTCTAGCCCATGCAATTCAAAGCCTCATTAATAACCAGGCTTTTATCATTCAATGAGTCAGCTACTTGCAAAAGCGAGCACGTAGGCCACAGGAGGTTTCTGCCTTCGGATTAATAAAGTGAGAAATGTTCTGGCTATTAAAAAAGGCAAACAGACAAGCGTTGCACAATCGACTGTTTTGTGCCTTTCGCAGAAGCTTTCGAAACCTGGCTTAAACCCCTCTGTGCTGAAGCCAAAATTATTTCCTGGTGATTTTTTCCAATAAAAAATAGCCGCAGCAGAGTAACATTAATGCAGACTATAAAACTTGTAGAGAGACCTTTTTTTGGTAGAGCATTCATGAGTGGCTATGAACTTTAATGACTGTAGAAACCAACAATTTAGTTCCCAATCTCTATTTACAGAAATAAATCTAAACCCCGTTTCTGATTCTGAGATTCAGGTTTGTGTTCTGGTCTAGACAATATAATACAAATATATTCTTTGCACACCTCACTCCTAGGCATCCTTGAGGGCTTTTACAAAAATAGAAACAAGGAAAATGTAAAAGCAAAAACATTTCACAATTCACTCTTGTACTCCTTTCCATAATCCCATAATTCTTTGGGCTCCCTTTTCTGCATATTAAGCACACTTGTACTTTTTCGTTTGTGTTTAACAGTTCATTTTGAAGACATCACCTGGGTTAATTTTGACATTGCTTTTGATGATTTTGAGGTCCACTCGTCGTCTTCTCTGATCAAGACTAAAGTGATTCTGTTCCTTAAGCCTGTCAGTGTAAAACATTCTTTTCAGCTCCCAAATGCATCTTGTTACTCTTCTCTAGACTGATTCCAGAGAACTGATATCTTTGATTTAACACGGTGGCTAAAATTGTACACAATATTCTAAATGAAGACTTAATTGTGAATTTTACAATTTGTATATAACAGTCCTTGATTTAAATTTTATGCTTTTCACTATATGTCCTAGCTAAATTGTTTGCCTTTTTAATTGCTTCCACACAATAAAAACAACAACAACAACAAAACAACAATAAGCAGTTCCTGGATGGACTCTGCAACAGAAATCACTTCCCCCCATCTCTTAGGGCAGGTAGATAAACTATGAATTGTAGAACTTCGAGCACAGGCTGGGCTTTGAATCAGGGCCATTTCTCAAACAGGAAGACACTTTCAATATTCCCAGCCTGCTCTCGCTCCATTAAACATTTGGTGCAAATACTCATTCAAAAACAACAGGCGTAATGGAGCACAGAAGGCCATCAAGACTCCTTCTCCGCACACTCGAGGGCCATTTTTGCCTTCCTTATTTCCTCCCTTGGTAAGTACCAGCCTGGAAAATCACTAGAAGCTGTTTCAGTCTTTGCCAGAATCCCTGTGCATCAGGTTTCATTATGCAGCTTTTACAGAGGCCTTTCTATGCTTGGTCTCCGATTTCTCCCATTTTCTGTAGAATTAATCCTACATTCTGACTCAAACCTTACAGACGGTATGAGATGGATTCCAAGGCCACTTTGCATGGGCTTTACAAGAGAAAAATAGGGCTTGTCAGCAGCTGAAGTGGCCAAAATGAACATAATATTTTAAATTATCTTTGTGATACAATAAAGCTGGATGCTGGAGGTGGGGTTGTATGAAAAATAGAATGCCTGGAGATCTTGAGGGAGTTTAGTATGAAGGTAATTTATATTTTTTTCCCTCAAAGTGTTGAATCGTGGAAGTTGTTTTTAAATGAAGAAAAATGAGTGTTAATTTTTTTTTCCCTAAAGAAAAATAAACTATGACACTGGAAGCGTTACATTAATCTTTTTTGATGCTAAATTACTAAATACATTTTTGATTCTGCAACACAAGGCAGGTGGCAGGGGATTAATTTTACTGAAGGTCAGTTCATTATTTGTTCCACACATAGAAAAATGCAATACAAGAAATGAAAAATAAATTCTTAGTTTTTCCCCCATGGTTCCTTTTATCATTCCAAACTGAGTTTCTTCTTTTATGTGGTATTCTATTTTTGCAGTTTGCTCTATAAGCTTCTCACAAACGGATTTAAAATAGGAAATTAATTCAGTAGCCCTTGTCTGGAAAGTAGAGTACTTACAACACAGAAATAAACTGCTAATTTGCAAAGAGCTGCTGCCCTCTGCTGTTTGAATTGATATTATTATAGAGAACTAGTTTGTTTTCCACGTCCAGTGTCAGACATGCATCACAGCCCTTGTTTCTTTTATCACTTGTTAAACATTTTTGGGATAATGTTTCTCTGGTGTGAGATGGCATGCATCACCCCTACTAAACACATCCATAGTACAAGACACTTGTCTGCTCTATGAGATCTTGTTTTTTTTGTCAGCAGTGGTTACAATCTTGCACTCCTGGTGAAATTAGATGGGCAAATCTTCTGAATTGATGGTCTGAAACTAAAATAAATCCTTTTTTACACCATTAATATAGGACTCCAACATGGGAAATCTCTCAAGGTTGTAATTACAGTTCAGTAATTGTGAATAAACACTCACAAGAGAAAGATGAAAACAGCAGTGTTTTTCCTAACAGTGCTCCTCAGGTTCCAGGTATCACTACTACCACTGCAATTAGATAGGACAGAATTGTTCCTATCTGTGCAACCTGAAGCGTATTTTGTCTAAGAGCTTCATTTTTACACTATTTTCTTTTTGAAACCTCAAGAGTACTGCATCCCTATTAATCTGAGAAGCTCCTGTCCCGCATGAAGGTGATAGTGTTAATTACTCATCTAAGGGAGGTCATTAAGGGAATGAAAGCTGGCATTTTTGCAATCAGCACTGTTTATTGCCAGCTTTTGACATGCAATTATGTTACAGTAACCAGCACATAGGGAATTACACAACATCCATTTTTTCGCTTTTATCCAGAAATTAAATGTGAAGTGAATGAACACTGGGAAGCATGAGACTGCTTTATAGGCATTTGAATACCACATATTCAGACTTACCGTTGGCAGAAACACCACAGGGCTGATAAAGATTTTCTTTCATCACTGCATAATGTCCCCACAAATAAAACCTGTTCAAAATATCACAAATTCAAATTTAGCATATCCCTATTAAGAGACTCTGAAGATATGCCAAACAAGCCAGTCTTAATGATGTATTTCTGCACATTAAACACTGCTTACTTCCCTACTGAGGATGCCTTTTATCTATGAAATACTGTAACAGTACATCACTGCTGTGGAAGAGATTGAGTTAATGGATACCTCTACTTCATAACTGTGTGGCTATTGTTTAAGAATGAGTCAGCGTGGCTGGCTGTTAAAACGAACAAGATGAGTGCAGATCTGTTTCGTGGGCACAGAGTAGGCCAAGTGGGAGTGAATGTGCTGGATTGTTGGTTATACAGCTCGCTGTGCATGAGTTTAACATTTCTCTTTCCTGCACAATGAAAATTAATTACAGCTTTTCAAAGTTATAAGATTGAAGTTATGTCATGCAGAGAGCCAGAGAAGATTGGAAAAAAGAAACAATTAAAATGATAATGCCTTATTGAAGTTCAATTTTCTTAACCCAGTCTTAATCTCCAATTAAAATTCACAATGTGATAAAACTCTCTCTTCCACAAGACAGACATACATTAGGGAATGGAATCTGTAATAAGCCACGTGAAATATATATGCCCCTATATCTTGCTATTGTAAGAAATAATTGTATCTTGTTTGAAAATATTATAAAAAAAACAGAAATAGCTTGTCATGTGTTTCTATAACGAAAGGCTGATTAGTCAGAGCTCATTAGGAACAGAGTCCAAATATAAAAAGCCTGTTTTTATTTCTCAAATAGCATGCATCTGTATTTCTGTCTGTTTGTATCGTGTTTTGCATAATAAAGGTCCGCCTGCAGAAAAAAAGTAGCTTGGCAATCCCCAGGTCGGTTCGACTCAAGGAGAACAGAGCAAGAGTGGACTTCTACTTCTGCATTCTTCCAACATCTTGGGTTAGGACATCAGCAGTGGATACACCAACAATAAACTGTCTGTTACTATGTGCTTGTGGTTTTATGTAATTTGTACCTAAGTTTGCAGGCTAAGTAAGAACTCTAACATGGAGGGCTGAAGCATGTTCCCCTTAACACCCAGAGTGTGGGGTTCTTTGATAAACAAAAGCACAGGTTATGGAAAATACAATATTTTGCAATAAAACACAAGGATTTGGTTGTGCAATTTGTGAAATAATTAAAAAGTTATGCCTCAGTATTGTTTTAGTGTACTTACACCTTTCAGTGAATGATTTAATTTTGTAGCCCCTGACATCCATTCCCGTAGATCTTTAAAGCTTTTGTGTGTTGCTCTTGTAGTTTTATACAGGCTTCAGCAGCTCAGGTTGAATTTCGATTGGGCATGCCATCCCCTCAAGTAAGGAAAAACTATAAAAGCATGAAGACTTGCTGCTAACCTTACCTGTGATTGTGCACTACCATGCAAGAACTAAATTTTCACTGAAACGTCAGCCTAGATTTGCATATGCATCACATTTCTCCATTTACTCAGAACACCTTACTGAACAGCATTAGCATTTCAGTTTCTGCAAGAGATACAAAGTTGTTTCTAAATGAAATATTCAATAATAGCTGCTAATATTACAGTTATTGTTACAATACCTTCCTTATTTCATTTATTTCTTCCCAGAACCTTACTCATCCCTACAGACACCCATCTAGGCAGGGGAAATAAGATATTGCGATTGCTTTGTGAGAAGACTGAAACAGAGCTATAGTGATTTCACAGAGAGATACTCAGTTGGAACAGAGCTCTTTGTTACCTTAGTTGTGTTCTGCCTTTCAAATCTATGCCTTTCAAGCTCACTTTTTAACGTTTTGATTCTGGTAAATGTTGCCTTGTTAGCTGTAGCCACAGCTCTAAAATAAAATCAAGAGATGAAAAGAATTCTGGTAAGATTTGAATGCGGAGTATTAATCTTGAAAATTTTTGAGAACAAAGAACAGAACTGAGAGCATCTCTAACAACTGCCTGCTCTTGAACTGCCAGCGATTAGAAAAAACCTTCAGCCATCAAGATCCTGCACCAGAGTTCTCATGCTTTGGAGAAACAAAACATTTTGACTACAAGTTGCTTTTCCCTCCCTATCGTCTATGAGAGGTGGATGCACTTTCGGCCTTCAGCCAGTGCGACAATGTCCTATTCCAGGGGCACATCATCCGAGAGTGAGCATTTTTTCTATTTCTGCTGTATGTACAGACCCAGGCATTTATATGGATAGTGTATGGATTTTAATTGCAAATTGTATTCAGTAACCCACACAAAATATCCCACAAGATGGGATGCATAGCTTCTGTGAACTGCATTATTATTGAGCTTAACAGAAAATCCCTTGTCCTTCACTCCTTCATTAATAGCTAAAGAACGTCAGAAAGAGCCAATGCCAAAGGACTAGTCACATGATTCCTCTTGTAATATTGAGAATTACGTCGACAAGTAGACATAGCTGCCCATGCAATCAACTCACCTGCAGAGAGGTGGACACTTCCTTTGACATCCTTCCTGCGTGTACGGACACACTTGAGAAGAATTTCTTCAATGTGCGCACGTAGTCTCCTCTGCTTTGGTCCATTAACACCAACAGAGTGCTTCCGCTTTGCAAGACTCATACAGTAAGTACTCTAATAGCTCTGTAAAGAGCTCTCAACAGCAAACTTCTAGTGAACAGATCAGGAAAGGCAAATACTCTTAACGCTGGAAAAAGAAATAGCCATGACGTTAGAACAAAAGCTGTGGTTCAGTCAGATATCGTCAGCAAGGCTCATAAAAACACACTCAGCCACTTAGCCGAAAAACAAAAATCTATTCAAGCTCTTTTTAAATGCTTCAAAAAACTTTATGCAAGTGTATGTGTTCCTTCTTAAGAGGCCACACTGCACCTTTGTCAGTGCTGGCATGACCTTAAACAAAACTCAAGATTATATCCACTTTAGATTGAAACATTGTTCTACTCATGGGCTCCTGAACTGGTTTTGCCAAATCCAAATGTAATGGCACCTTACACTGCCCTCTGGAATGACCCCATACGAATGACAATTGTGTCTTCATTAACTACGAGCCTCCCTAGTTTTTTAGAGAATGACAGTCACTCCACTTAGAAGGAAACAATATACTTTTGACTCATGGCATAACAACATTGAAGTATACTTTTGATGCACTGATATTGTGGTTTTGGCCCAGTGTACTTCTACTGTCCCACTCTGGTGATATGAACACTTGTTTCTATAAGGTGAAAGAGGGGCTCAGTAATGAGGGAAGAAAAGTGTGTATAAGAATGTCTAGAAAACAAATGGGTTATTTATGAAAGAAAAATGTCGTCCAGTGTTATTTTACATATTATTTTAGATTGTCTTCACTTTCCAACTATAAAAACTAAAAAAAAATTTTTAACTAAAAATAAAAATTGTTCGATTTCTAGATTCATTTTCTAGAAATGTACTGTAAGTAGGAAAAATATGCTTTAACAAAGTAATATGTACAGTAAATGAGAGCTGGAGTTCTGTAGATGTTAATTTATTAAGACCTCTTGTATAAAATAATTGGCGAGATATAGAAGTGAAACTATCCCCCATCCTGCACACAAAAACAAATACCCACAAAAACCCCAGGTCTCCGAAATCTGCCAAGCAGTTCTGATCATGCAGATATGATCCTTAGAATTCTGGGGCAACAAGCTGCAATTTTACATAAGGGGGGACTTATGGTACTGAATTTGGCCCTGAGTTTAAACAGCTGAATTAAATAACTAGCTGAAACTCGCTTTTAAATAACCATTCAAAAGAACTAAAATTGTATAAATGTTTTAAGTCACTGGCATGTGTAGCAGTTGCTTTGATCCCATGTACACTGCAATAGAGGCAGGAAAACTGACAAAACAGATGAGAACATAAAGAAAAAAAAAAGCAGGTAGATTTCAGGTAGAATTTTCTGAATTGTTTTCCCGAGGTCGAAAGCAGGGAAAATTAACCCATTTTCAAACTGCTTCTTCCAATGCAGGGTTGCAGGGGAGTTGGAACCTATCCTGGCAAACAATGGGCACAAGACAGGGTACACGCTGGATGGGACACCAGTCTAACACAGGGCAGACAGACTCACTCCAGGGCACTTTTTCCCAGAAGCCAATTAACCTACCACTATTTTGGGACTGTGGAAGGAAACTAATTCTGGACTTAGGGTACTATTGTATATTCTCCCCGAGTTTGCATGGCATCCAGGACCCCAGTGCTGCAAGGCAGCAATGCTAACCAGTGCGCCAACATGCAGGAAGCTACAAAATTAAAATAAATGCAAATGAGAAAAAGTATGAAGGCCTTGAAAAAAGTAGTCAAAAGGGGCCCATCTTAAATGAAAGCACAACCAGGACATTAGACAACTTGAATGTTTCCAGATAAAAAGGGACCAATTCAGTCCATTCAGCTCATTTGGATTAACCCTCACTGGCATGACAGCAGAAAGGAGAGATGCCCTGGCACACAGATCAATGACACACCATAGACTGCAGATTCCCAATTAAATTCAGTTTAATAGATTGTTAAAAATAAGGCTAAGATGCTATTAAAGCACACACCTACCAAGAAATATTGTCATGGTAACAAGACAGTGAAGGCTGTAGGTTGCTTGTGATGTCTGCTTCTACTTAGCCAGAAGTTAAAGGCCCCAGCAGTATGTAACACATACTGATTCCAGAGCCCCACACTGTAAAAACTGGTATTTAAAACAAAATACACTGTGGTGATCTTCAAAAACGTGCATAGCTCATTAGAACAAGAGTGTTTTACAAAATCAGCCACTCTTACCCAAAACTTACTTGTATTTGTTTTCCATTATGTACCTCTTGTTACTGGTTTATAAACAATCTGCATCAAAACAACAAACCAAGCCACTTATGTTTCATATACATATTTATATATATATTTCATGTACAAAGTTACATTCTGAACCACAAAGGCTCAATCATAGAAATAAATACTGAAATGGCTACACTGCGATACGAAGACTGCTTTATCCCCCCATCACAGGAAAAAAAAGCCCCCTGTTGTTCTGAACAGACACTTAGCATTCTGCGTTTACAGAGGAAAGTGAAACACAGATTAAAGTGTCTTCGACAAAAATGTACAAAAAATTACACAGACCATAAAATTTTAAAAGTAGGATTAAAAGTTTTCAAAATGCAAGTATTAATAGATCAAATGAAGGAAGAAAAAAAAACAGAACTCAGTGTTTAGAAAATGGTTTCTGAGGTGCAACAGAATCTGTTACATTTCTATGTATCCCTGTAAGTAATGTTCCAAACAGATTTTCAGAGATGTATATTTTAAAAAATATATATAATAAGTGAATAACTGTTCACTTGGATGACTGCAACTCTTAAACAAGTTCTAGGGCCAAGGGCAGTGCGAAAAAAGCTGTCCCTTAAAAATAACTAAGCGAGGTTTTTTTTCAAGCAGAAGACGGCATACGAGATCTAACTGGGTGACTGGAGTTCAGACGTGTGCTCTTCCGATCTTTTTTGTATTGTTTTTTTTTTTTTTTTTTTGCTTTGGTAACTTTGTGACACCCACATAGAAATAAATACTCCGTCAGACATGGTTGTAAATACAAATTTAGTTCCTTAGAACAGTTAGTGTACATCATTAAAAGTGTGTTTTGCTTAAACTAAGGCAGCCTATGTTGCTTAAAGTGTCTGCAAGCTATATATTTCACAGGAAGGAAGACCTAACAGGACAAGGGAGAATAAAGTAAGACGGTAGCAAAGGGAAATACAAATGGACTTCACCATGCAGGCATACACAACCTTAAAAACAGGCCAGCAACTTGAACACTATTCCTCAAGGATTAGTGGGACACGAGCACACTGTCCACTCATTTGCCGAGTAGAAAGGAAACGCAGGATGGGTGTAAAAGACAGTCAAGTCTGACATACATACCACTCGGAGTACATTAACAGCGTGGTAGCCTGTGAGTCAAGATCTATTAAACTATTACACAGGGAGTAGAGCAGGGAACACAAGGGACACAAACCTGTGGCACTGTCACATAACTATGACTCCCCAGTGTTTTAAAAAAAAAAAAATTACATCCCCACAACATTCCCAATCTCCGTATAACAATGTGTGTATCATATAGGTCCATTGGTTTCTCATTCATCTCTAATATACAAGCTTAACTACATCTAAGGCGCAGCAGCATTTCGCTTCCATCTCCAAAACATACAAAGGAAGAGTTTGAAGCTTCCCTGACAAGGCAGGGATGTGGGTGACGACACTCAACCAGGCTGCAGTCACCAACCCTTGCCTGCTTTGTTATTACAAGGAATAGAGAAGCGTCATACATAGTGAAAAGTCCATCCCACACTCGGGTGCAAAATAATAAAAAAAAAAATAACAATAGGAATACAGATGCATTTAAAATTAAAATTTTAAAAAAGAAAAAGAACATGCAGAAGGTTTTCACGGTCTTCCTCTTACTTGCTGATGGCACTGTGTGAGAATGAGGTGGATCACTCTTCGCTCAGCATGACCTGCCACACGATCAGATGGCTTCGTTCTGCTTTGGCCAGAAAGGGCTGGAGCTGCAGTGTGGTGTCGGATTCCTCTGCAGCGGATCCTTCGTCACCTGCAAAAGCACAACCAGGGAGTTCATGGGGAGTGTTTGAGGGGGCTGGTTGATTTCGCAGGAACACAGCTTGGAATTACAATGTAAGCCTGGGGATGCCTTAACAGAAGAGCTTGCTTGCTTAAGGGCTGAAACAGTGATCCACCCCTCAAGAGCTCCCTGCTCGACTGAGGAGTCTCTGATACAAAGTGGTGACGTTTGGACTTGGAGAGCTCAACTGAACTCTTAACCTGAACAGGCTGAACTACTTGAGAAGCCCAGTTCATTTAATGGCACAGCACAGTGACCCAGAGAAAAAAAAAGGTTTTTGTATGTGCTGTGGAATTGGTACTGTGCAGTGGTTCTTTGTCGCTTGCAGCAATGATCGACTTACTCTTAGATTCACTTAATCTAAACTAAAGTTTTAAAATGTTTGCATCCCTGGTCACTTTTCCTTTCATACAAAGAAAATCTCATTTTAAAATGTGAAGTTACAAATCTACATCTATCAGTAGAACCATACATTACATAACCCAAAGATGCTTAGTTCTGTAAGAACTGGAAAGTATGTAACCTAAAATAGGCAAGAGCATTTAGATCCATCTTCTACCAGTAAAGGAAGAGTAGCATCAACATTTGCTCTATTTCATTATAAGGGCAGAGTGCTATTCTGTACCTGTACCATCGATTAATGGCAAGGAGCTTCCATGCATATAGCAGAAAAATACATGTTTTATGTTTTGAGCAGTTGCATGCAGGTGTAATGGAGGAGTATGCAATGGTGCTTAATGTATTGCTCCATCAGATTTATAGGCAATTCTTGATACATCCGATAATACTTGAGAATAACCATGGTTAACGCAAATGGCGATCATCCTTACCCATTCTGAAATCAATGTAGCCCTCTCCTCCACTGAGCACTAGGACAGACTTGACAAGCTTGTCCTGGCTGGACGGCTCTGAGGCAGAAGAACCTGGTTTGTCAGTAAGAGTGTCACTTCCAGAGCTGGCTGAAGAGCAAATCACCTGGCCTGTTAAAAAGATAAAAGCACAGACACGCTTTAATAATAACAATAATAATTGCTTACACTTATACAGCGCTTTTCTGGACACTCCACTCAAAGCACTTTACAGGTAATGTGGACTCCCCTCCACCACCACCAATGTGGAGCCCTACCTGGATGATGCGACGGCAGCCATAGTGCAAGACATTCGCTTTGAAAGACATTCGTTATCACCAGAAATACAGAATGATGAAGTCTACAATTCATGTGTAGCAAGGGATGAATACAGAAGGAATTCTGTATGAATACTGTAGGGCCTGATCTGATAGTTGTTTCCATTTAAAAAATGAAAAGAATAAGGGGAGATGTCCTGAAGAGTTCTGTGATAAACATTCCCAATTACACACCCATAAAAAAACATACTGAAAATACAGATATGAAAAATGATTACATCATGTCACAGATGGAAAGCTTCTGCTGTTCCACCACATGCTATGCTGAAACAGGCATTTCTTGCTTCTTGAAACGTGCAGTCAGAACCTTACCTGGAACTGCAGCAAAAAACTTCACTGCGTCTCGGTGCCCGTGGAAGCAGAGCTGTGCATGGGCCATGGAGCAGTAGGGTATGTATGTACCTGGAGTCACTTTGTCACTGTTCTCATCCCCATACACCCGAATTACACTGCCTGGACCTTTCGCAGTTCCTGTGGCAACTTTATTAGCTTTAAAATAAAACACATTAAACATTTCATTAGTCCAGAAGGCATCTGGGCTCCAATGTTCACCTTTCAATGAACAAATGAAGCACTGAACGAGCACAGTGCAGGCATTGGACTAAGGCAGTGGTGAGGCCCAACAGAACTCGCACAAAATGGTGACAGCATTGACGTGCCAAGTCATGGCAGAAGGGTGAACTGAAACTGAAAAAAGAAAGACAAATGAACACGGACAGACATGCTGAACTGATACTCATAAAAGCGATGGAGCAAGCCAAAACAGTCGTCTTGACAGCCGTGACAGTGTGAGGCGGCATTTCTTTAAAGGCCTAAAAGACGCATTATGGGCTCATTCGTTACGCCGCATAGCTCCATTCCTAGGAAAAGAAGGACGACTGCTGATGGAAAAAATAAAGGGGGTTAAAAAGATAGATGGAATTGATGAAAAAAAACAAGAAATGTCAGAACTGATAAGTAGTGGCCATGAAGAAACAAACAGGAAAAGGAATGAGCGCCAAAGCCTGTCTGCAGCAGAGGCCAAGGCACAAGTTCTCAGTACGTTTGTGGTTCTCAGCAAACATACACCTGCTGTGATGCACTGTTCACAGGTGCGAAAGAGAGGGAAATAGAGGAATGTGGCTGAGCCAAACAGTCCTTTAAGTTCTTTTCTTGACTGACATATTTCACTTTAAAAGAGTCATGCTTTTATTTTGCATAACAACGCTGATGTGCCTACTATAACCTGAGTGCAGGTCACTAAGGTCCCATTCTCAAAGACGTCAGAGACTCAGGATTTGTGCTTAACTGTGGCCCAATCCGAGTCTGTCAGTAATGATTATGATTCCTCATTTGTGTGGTAATAATGCAAATCTGAGGTGCAGCAGGTACTGTTTGCAACAGTCTACCAAAAGAAAAAAAATGCAGCAGATATGGGGAACTGTGATAAAAAAAAACATGAAAACTCTATAATAGTTAGCCCTGACATCAGCTTATGAAAACCAAAATATTTAAATCTTCGTTCTGCTTAACACTGCCCTCCAGACCACTTAAAGTTCAATTCTTTTAAATTGCCCACTTATAACAAGGTTTATCACTTCACTACAGTGTCAAATAAAGCTCTGAACCCTTTATGGCAGCTTTGAGAACAAATAGATGTGTGTGAGGGGACGTTTTAAAAGACTTTCTGAAGCTGATATTCAATTACCTACCAGATAGTCAGAACAGTACAGTAACTTCATTCTGCTACTGACATTAAAGAAACACAGAAATCAAATATGTCGGCCAAGGAAAGGCCTTTCAAGAAACTACCTGGAACTGTATGCATTCGGCACGGCCCTGCTAGGGAAGGGAAGGGGTTACATTACGGAAAATGAGGGGTGGAGAGATCAGAGAGCAGGGGGCTCTGAAAGGGCAGAGAAAGGCCTGGAGCAGTCAGAGAGAGAGCAGCTTGTTTGGTTTGCGGTCAGGACTTACCCCTCAGCCCCAGTAAACGTCCCTGGTGAAGGTTAACGGCTACAGTAAGAAAACGGAGAGGGGGGAGAGTGGACAGGTATGACAGTAGAGGAGAAGAGTTAATGAGAACCCACCACTCCTCAAAGATCCTTCTGAGTCAGGTCATATGGCCTTGGGCAAGAAATGCTGCAAGCCTGCCTTTACCGACATGGGCTCCTGGTACTACGATCCGAGAGCACCATTCTTACTGGCAACACTATCTAAGCATTTATTCTGCATTAAAGTTCAATTTCTTAATTGTATTGATGTCACTATAATTCTAGAGTAAAAATGAGCTAATTTTATTATTTGTGTCCCTGGGAAGAAACTTTTTTTTATACAAGGGGAAAATCAGTCAGACATCTGTTGAACTGTTCTGCTAGATACAGATGACAAAATAATTAAGGGTTACAAATATACTCCTACTTATGAACCGTTAATTGCAGAGTCTCAAATCCCAGATACCTTTTAATAAAATGGTTTGAGAAACAAATATTTCTTTTAAGGAAGAATAATTCTGAACAAAAAAAGGCCTGAGAATACTTCAAGGATAGCTGTTTAAAGCTCCATGGTCTGTACTGGATACTAACTCACTATCATAAACACAGAAAAACAAAAACTTAATATATTATATTTGGGTCATTTAACTTCATCTTATATTTCCATCTGATTTGCTTTATAAATAAAAGTAATATAAATTAATCTGAATGCGAGTATCTGTTAAGAGAAAAATACATTGCTACAGTATTGGCCTGTTATTCAATGGCTTACTTGTTACATATTTAAATACAGGTGTGTGAAATAAATCTGTGATGGTTCAACCGTCTTACTAAGTTAGGACAGTGTTTCTTCCCAGTCCTAAAGACTCTGTACATTTAATTTGTCATGGATTCAAGAACACTGTGTGGACACCACTTGGATGTCCTTCAAAATGTTGACCAAGTGTCCTGTTGATGTCTTGACAGAAGTACAGTGGGCCAATGTGTTAATATTTTTCAAGAATACATCAGTCTATCCTCTCTTGCAGTCAGTTACGTACAGACAGAGCAGTAAACCAATCTTGCAAATAAACACTACAGTACTGGTACAGACACACTTCAGCTGGAATGGATATGTGATGTCATGGAATATGGAAAAGGCCCAAGCCAAAATAAAAACTATAACAAGATTTTGTCTTTTAATCGCATATTCACTGGTTATCATGCAGTTACGTTTTTTGTGCATAAAGGCCATTGATGCTGAACTCCACTCTCAAAACAAGCATTTTGCTTCAGTTTGGAATGTCATGCATCTTTTCAAAACAAAACAAAGTGAAGCTACTTACTTTCAATCAAAGGAATGGAAATAATAACTCCGTTTCCAGTTCCAACCCAGAGACGATTACAAGACACCATTAAGGCTGTAATCCTTACAAAAGAAAAGCCTAGTTTGCCAGTGCCTGTGAAAAAAGCACAAGAATACTTGAACTACATTGAACTACAGCACCACCATTACCATTAATTAAGAGAGTTACAGAAATTGTTCAGTTTCAACCAAACAGTTTCAACAGTGCTCAAGTGTCAGAATCTTGCCAGATGTCTAGGTTGCCAATGGCTGCTGAGCTTTGAAAAGCTCAATAAAATCTCTATTCTGAAGGCCAGAAACTCTTTTAAACCCCAAGTTTTAAAAAAAACCCCACAAATGTTATTTTAATGTGAGAATAATTCATATATTAGTTATTGCGAGACTCCATAGCTGAGTTAGAACATCAAGATTATTCTCCCAAAGTGTTCTGTGGTGTTTTCAACCTGGAGGAGGGAAACAAATTCCTTACCCAGCATTTTGCTGACATAGGGCTCGATATCGACGTCCTGTAAGTGCTGGAAGGTGTGAGCATGGAAGAGCCGCAGGGTGGAATCCAGGCGAATTGACACCCAAATACCATCGCCCACCCACGCCAGCTGTCTCACCTGGCTCTCCTTTCGAGGATGAGCATCGAAGGATTTCTAAAAGGAAAGAACAGCAACGATGAATAAGAACTGTAGTTGTAGTTTTCTACATCCAGGTCATCGTTTTTGAAGAAATTTAGCAAACCATTTTCTCTTTATACTTTCTGCTTTCACACAGCTTTGCAACCAGATCATATCAATTAATGACGTAAGGAAACAGGTGGGAATACACTGTGCCAAACACTATCATCGTAATCTCACTGGTTAAATTCCACCTGGTCATCAATGCTAAATGAGGAGTATTGAAACCTTGCATCAGGCATTAAACACAAATTTATTTTATCCCTTTTTACTATTTATGAGATGAAGCTAGTTTAAAAAAACAAAATGGTCAGTAAATATGCTCACCTGCAATGACATCCACAAGATAAGGAAAGTATAAAAATAAGGTCAGAAATGCATGTCACTCCTCCCTCCCTACTCACCTCTATTTTCATGGCTTTGGGCTGAACCACGTAGATTTTATTTCGGTAGCCACACCACACCTTGTCATGCACCACCGACATGCAGCGAATGGAGTGATGGGGTCGCCCCAGGTCCAAAAGGTGATAGTTTGTTAGGTCCCACTGCCCATCTGTGAGTAAAGATACACAGGAGGTTCCTTAACTCAAGGATAATGTGTGCCCCCTCAGTGACCCTAATAGCCTTTGAAACAGTCTGGCCCACTCGTCTGAAGAACAGACTTGGTTTTCCAGATTTCTGTGAGCAAATAGCTTTTCACTGAGCAAATTTCTGTTTCGTGTTTATCTGTGAGGATATACCGGGCTTACTGCTGTACCTCAAAATCACTGAGTGATCGCAACATCAGGCAGACATTAGCATCAGGCAGACTGATGTTGGGAGTCACCAATAACAAGCTGCCAAAGACGACACTATTTTTTAGGATTTCCCGAGCTATACTCTCAATTTTTAGGGGAAAAAATTTCACCAGAATTTTTCAAAACAACATATCAACTATCTTGTTACATACACTGAAGGCAATGGGAGTGTCATTTTACCAATACAAGAAGTTATACTGTAACCAAAATATGTTTTCATGTCTGTGTTTCTTCTTACCTACACCTCGGTGAAAGATGGCCAACGTCCCATCAGCCAGTGCAACTAATACCCTTCCTTTGACATGTCTGGGGAAAGATTTACAAAAAGGAAAAAATAGGATTGTAACTTTAAGGACAAGAATCTGCTAAAGTGATTTTGTATTTCTCTTCAAACCAAAAATACAAAATCAGCCTACAGTGATTGGATGCTTGTCACACATACATCAAAGCAACCCATCTAAGAAAATCTATATTTTTCTTTTTTTTTTTAAATATCGAAGTCTTGGGTTAAGACTTCTACCAATATGTGATATACTTTTCTCCCAATATGTGATAGGCAGAACCATTCAGGTTTGTATTTAGAAATACATTTTTAATTTTAAAAAAGTCTATGCCAGTTAATTTGTGATTTCTGAAAACCTAGCATGGATATAATTAATTTTTTTGTCACAATCAAGTTTTATGTGCAGTGCAAGTCAGGTGATCAAGAAGGAACAATGATTCAATTCTCATTTTGCCCACTAGATGGCTCTTCCTAACTGTATAAATTCAACAAGTGTCTAGGTATCGTTTCTTATTGCTGTGTATTGTTTTGTCCATACATTGACTTCCAGTCATACTTAAAACTGAAAGAACAACAAAATCTATTGGAGAATTTGTATCAGAGAACTGTCACATACAGTAGCTATCTAATGAATATGACGGAAGCATTTTTACTTTTAATTATTTTCAGTACAAAATATTCCTGCATGTCCTGAGCACATTTCTTACATATAGATTCTTTTCAATTTGTTTAGCAAGTAAAGAGTCAGGCACTCAAAACGCTTCAGTGGGTAGGCATTGATCATTCTGGTAATGGAGGCTTGTCCTGCTGGGTGTTCTCTGAGGAATGGGACTGTATGAATTAAGCAGATGAACCAGGGCTGAATGGGAGAGGGGCAATCATGAGGAATATCAAAAACAAGTGCAAATAACACAGAGCTAAAACAGGGTAAGAACACCCAACATAAACCAATTAATAACTTCAGTGAAGAACACTCCCTCATAGCAAAGCACATACTACTAAACAACTGTACTTACACAATGCTGAGAATAGAGTCCTTCAATTTTATTGAATGGAGACACTTCCTCCACTGAGCCACTGAAGAGTGGACGTACAAGCTGGAAAACAGCAAAGTGGCAAGCACAAAACTCAGCTACAGAAACCAATTCACTGCATTTTATTGAGTACTAGTAGAAGTGTTGACAATAATAACGTTCAAAAGTGCTCACAGAAAGTCTTAGATCTTTGGATATAACTGTGAGCTATTTTGCAAATATCCAATCTCACTCTGCTAACATTACTAGTATTATTTTTCATTAAAAGGTGTTAATTCCAAGTGCGGGCTCTCTCAACCTGACCTGTTATCCACTCTAGATTGCTGGATCATTGATGGATTACTCCTGAGTTACACATGTGGGGTAGATTTCAGATTTAAGTTTTTAGCAGCTGTAGAACATGACTTCCAAAAGCAGGTCTCATCTGATATGTCATGTAGAATAAAACCACCATGCCAGTGCCCCATGTCAGAAATGTATTTTACTCCCATTGGAGCTCTCTATAACCCTTAACTTTTATTTTTCATGGTTTTTGGGGGGGATATGGAAGTATTTCTAAATATGCATTAAATGGCTATGAAATTCAATCATTCAAAGGCAATGCAGAACTGTAATGACTCTCAGAATGTTCTGATTTTAATAGCTTTTTAAAGAAGCTCCACTGTCAAGGCCCATAAGAGATGAAAAATTGAATCATAATGGAACGTGCTTCGAAGGGACAGCAAATGAGTCCTGATTTGGTCTTTGTAGGTGCACCCCTCATCAGTGAAGCCTACCAGCCATTCTGAGCTCCAAGCCACATGGTGGGCAGGACACTGCTCATCTTCTGTGCCTCCTCTCTCATGAGATCCTGCTCTTCCGGCAGAGACGTCACGCCATCCTTGAATAAGTCAGACTCCCTGCAAGCCAGCATTAGGGTTAGTTTCTTATTCATTACAAGGTGGAATGGAGTGCAAAGGTCAGGTTCTCTAATTTTTTATTGAAACTGGTATGCATGCAAGACGAGACGGAAAGTGAAGCAGATCTCCACTGCAACAGAGTTCAGAAACTAAGCAAAGACCGGATCAGTACTGGGATGGGAGACCTTAGAAAACCAAATTGCTGGTATTAGAGAAACAGAAGGTGAAACACTTCCCTTGGACCAGACACTGCGCAGGCCTTCAGACTAGATGTTAAACCAAGGTCCTGATTTCTTGTCCATCAAGATGCTATGGCACAGTTTGGAAATGTATGGTATAAAATCAAGTGTCCTGGCTAAACTCCACTCTGGACCTACACAATCTGACTTTCCTATATTTGTTGAAGCAATTTCTCACTTCTGCACCTGTTCAGATCTCTGGTGAGGCGGGAGGTGCATAAGGACAACCACATCACCCAAGTGGGGGCTGCACTTCAAAGGTAAATGTAAATGTAAAGCACTTCTTTGGAAACTTCCATATAAATACATGAAGGCATTATTAACATACACAGCTCAACACACTGTTTATCATCGCCTGATGAAGCCGTTCTCCAGAGGCGTCCCAGCTCTTGAACCCTAAACTATCTTTCACCTTGCTGGCTGCCTGCACTCTGCTGGGCACCTGTGTCAAGCCCTGCAGAATACATGAGGCCAGGAGGCTATCTGGCACTGATTTTTATGTTCTGATCCGGTTTTGCCTTGCATGCACTTGTGAAAGTTTTAATTTCCTGCACCTTTGCGGATAGACGGGGGTGCTTTCGGCAGAGTTCTGCACTCCCAGAGGGTCTGTGAAGACGTGCTCCGTGTAGATTCCTGGCTGGCTGATGTCTGCTCCGTCATCCCCTGAGCCCGCGCTGGCTTCGGTCGCTTCTGTGGCCTCCTCCGCCGTGGGCACCCCTCCTTCCACTGCGCTGTTCTCAGCACCCGTCTCTCCTGGGAGAGGGAAGGATCATGCGCACACAAACCAAAGGAACAATCGGCAACTACCACTCGCCATAAAAGGGCCAGAAAAAAAGCTGAACCCAGAGACAAACTCGGGATAGAAGCAGAAATTATCTCCACAATTCCCCCCCCTGTTTCTTTCCTCCTTTCCCTGTCTTACATGTTTCTCTTTCTTTAAGCGTTTCAACCTCCTTCATTTCTGCCCTGTCTGCAGGACAGGAACCTGATGTGTCACACTCAGCTGTGTTTAGCAAAAGTGCAAGTCTCCCAAGTTACTGCATAAAAATAATATAAAAATTAAACAGCAAGATGGTCAGCTCTTACTAGCAGAAGACAACACTCAGATTAACTTTTCAAACAGCATTTGGAGTGACACGAATGTGCATATTGTGTACACAATGACAAGGTATAATGTAACTTGAATATAGTCCACGGTCATATACTGTATTATACAATATACTTATAGGTTTTAACCAAAACAATACTTCCACAAAATCCTTTAAAAGTGAAAATAAGTGTTGCTTGTGCATATAACTGTGCATGTATACCACAGTACTTGCAATGCACTCACAAGATTTACTACGGCTGCACCCCAAAGAAGGACATTTTACACTGAAGCACTTTTTAATTATATTTATCTGCGGTTGTATTATGCGCCATTGATTCAGGTTTGTTTTTACCAAACTGCAATGCACATTTCCTAACAAGGCATTTACAAGCTGCAAAACACAGACAATAAATGATACGAAACAAGACGCCTATAGCTCTTCAAGCCTGGCAGAGGAAATACAGGATGTCAGCCTGCAGTCTACCTGTCTGGACGTCTGGGATGGGGGAGGCAGACACAGGGGTGCTCTCAGTCTGTGGGATGGTGGCTGTCCCCTCGGTAGTACAGCCGACTACAGTGATTCCCCCCAGCATGCTGTCGCTGCCCGCAGAGCCGCTGCTGGCCACGCTGGCTGTCAGGGAGGCGTTGTCCGCTGCCCCACCCTCTGCCTCCTGGGGAACCTCTTCCCCGGCTGGGTAGTCAGTCTCTCTGGCACCTGCGAGCACACACCTGCTTGTCAGCGCCTCCCAGTGTACAGCGCTCTGCTTCTTTAAAAGTGTCCTGAAGGGGCTATGCAATATGCAATTATCTTAATGAAATTACCCATAGTGCAGGACTGAGTTCAGGATGACATTTGTCTGCACTTTGCAAACCAATGTAGAAATGCGAAGCATTTAACCAGCGCCAAGCTTCATAGGTTTATAGGAACCATAAGACTTTACAGGTGTCAAACGAGACACAAGGATCTTCAATGTTTCAATTTAAACTTTGCAGCGAATGGTGAAGAGCTTTAGGAGAAACACAGTTTTGATTAACTGTTTAGATGCGTAAGTCAATCAGTGCAGTCTTCACTGCATGTGCACTAGGCACTGTGGTGCTTCCATTAGGATCTTGATTGCCATATAGCACAGGTGAGGAGCTGACTGGGACAGTGTTCTGTAATGGAAATGGCTGAAACGAGCATCATATTAAGAAATTAATATAAAGAGATAGTTATGACATGATAACTGACCGCTAATATTCTATTTCTTTGATGCAGTGTCCTGACTAAGGCTTTTGTTTACTGAAAAGTTGACAATATTCATTAAGTGGGTGTGTGTTCTTCTCTTTGTTTTGTTCATAGTATCTAAAACGTAAGCAAAAAGGAAAAAGAAACCTTACCTTATGAAAATGTACCTGTTAAAATGTAATTTTAAGAGATGTCCGAACGTGCATGTATTTCTATGTGGTCCTGAAAGCTAGCTGTACATTTACCTGGCACGCTCGCGATGCACAGGACGTGGGAATTGCACACAAAGAAGTTCTCCAGAATATTGCCAGGCTGGTTGGCATCGATGACCATGACTTTGGTGGTGGAGTGAGTGCTGGTGCAGATCCACACCAGGCTGGACAGCTCCTCGTGTTGTCGTAGCTCTTTCTCCTGCTCCTGGGGGACACAGGCAGACACGGTGAGATTCTGCTTCCAAAGGCCCAGGGGAGCCTCGAAACAGGACAGGATAATACAGAGTCTTTCAAGAGCAACAAAATCAATGCAGGAACTAATCATGCTCGTCTCGTACTTAGCAGGTGTTCTGGCAACTTGTACCTGCATCGGCTGAACTGTCTGTCAGGAATAACTGAATGTATGGTAAATCCAAAATGATAAACACAATTTTCAGTGTAGCAGAAACTTTAAAATTCTGCATGAGCTTAAAGTGCTTTTCCATAAGACTAGATGTTCAGCCTAATTAGGCTGAAGAGGTGTGAAGCATACCCCTGTATTAATGCAGAAGTAATTCACTTGAAGCAAATACAAACTGTAAAGAATTTGTCTATGGTACAAAAAACTACATCTCTATATTAATAACAGTGATGATGATATATATAACTAATACAATCTCAGTTCAGGTATGTATGATGCTTACTATGCTTAAACCTGCTTGAAATTCTGAATTTGTTCCCACAAATAACTTTCAGTGGCTTCATTAATTTTTTTGGTCACTACTGTTAATCTGAAGATTCAAACCCCCAGTTTTTCTGGGATAGCCAAAACATTCCTAGATTCGGTATGAATGCTGAAGAACATGAAAAGGTGATGGTTCTTTCAAGTGTTCCTCAAAGACGCTGATCTCTGATTCATACTGGAAAGCAGACCTTGAGCTCCTGCTCCAGCCTGTCCAGACTGCTCTGCGATCCTTTCCTCTGCCTCTGCCTCTCCGCCTCCGAACTCGCGACGTCGTTGTAGAAGACGCTGGCCCCGACAATGGAGCCGCCATCGCGGGTCTTTCCTCCGGATAAGTTCACGCCTGCAGCACACCACAGCTGCAAAACACACCCTGCCGGTCACTGCAGCTCCAAAGATGACAGAACGTGCCCTTCAGCTCACTTCAGAAATCCCGCCAGAATGAAAGCCAAGAACTTTGCAAACAGGGAAAGTTGACAATATACAGAAAGGTTCCAGACTCTCAGCCACTGGACATACATTTTCATCACTAAAGATAGAGTACACATCTTTTGTAGCACTTCTATTACCAGCTGCTGCTGTTGTCATACCTTCATAGAAGCATCTTTCTCATCCAAAGGTCTAAGGAACACAGGCACAGGCAAATTCTTCATCCTGCTTTCTGCCTGCCCGCCATTCGCCACCTGGAGACAGGAGAAAGATGAGAAGCCTGGCTATTTCACCAAAGTAGATAAACAATGTTCTATGACACAGTATATAAAACAAATAGTGTTAGCACAGGGCCCGCTTTGCTTTTCGAATCCTATTGAAGTACAATATACTATTAAGTAGTACATTCAATGTTTAGCTATGTTTTAGTGCATTCGTCCAGAAAACAACACTGTGAACACACATATCAAAACAGTCCTCAGTCTAAATTTTTACTGTCAGAAAAAGAAAACAAAGGCCATACCAATACTAAATAAATATATAGGGAAGTATGAAATGCATGTTGTTGGCACAACGCAAAGTCGAGTGGTTATATGCAGGTCAAAATGCTGAAAAAAAACAGCCCTGTACAGTCCTTCTTTAGGAGGAGCTCCAGGGCGGACAGATAGAAGCAGAAATGCAATGTAGACATTTTTGTTTTGTTTCTGGTGTCAGCAAACTATGCAGTTTTGGTTTCTGATTGAACTGTGCATTACAGTGTTTAAGAAAAGACAAAATTGAATTACTGCCTACCTTGTACTTCTGGGGAAGACTCCAACCGCAGGCCTGGATCCTACCATCATCCTTTTGTACATGGTCCTTCACCTGCCTGTACTGCGCCCTCTTCTGCTCTCTGCGTGAGGCCAGATTACCCGAGTCAATCCTGAGGTGGACAGAAGGAAGAAACAGGATGAGGGGAAAATAACACATGAGTTTCTGCAACAAAAGCACATTCTGGGCTGAACCCAAAGACAGCCCAAACACCCCCATGGGTACTTACTCCTCATTGAGAAAGTCAAACGCTTTTGATTTGTCGCTTGGTAGCTGAGATAAAGTGCTGCTTCTTTTCTTGACAGTGGGGGTGATGTGTGAGGTGGGTGCGTTGTATTTGACGTTAACTGGTGGCTCAGGTTTCTTGGTGGTGTTGCTCGAGGGGTTGAAGAGCCGGCTAAAACTGGTGGAGGGAGGAGAGAAAGGAGACAAGGAGACTAACAGAAATTCAGAGAAAGGAGAAGAACTAAGATCAAGGCCACACAACACGAAACCGAAAACCTTTCATCACCATGCAAATAATTCCATCCCCAGGGAGCCTCACGGTTAACCAATGGAGATTAAAAAGCAGGACCAAGATTCCCCAAACACCAGCTTTCTTCAAATGGTGCACAAATCCGACCAAAGATCATTAGTTTCATTAAAAACGAATGATCATTAAAAACTAGTGCAGATCATTTAAAACCTTTTTAGGTTTAGGTGTATTTCTGACCTCATTCCTTTCTTGTCTGGAGAAAATAAAAGTCCTTCCCTCTTCCTGCTCAGGCTGGGGTATTTTTCTGAACTTCATGCAAATCCCAGGACACTGCAGCCAAGCTATGCCATTCTATTCAAGCACTGCGCTGCAGGCACAACATGCATTGCCACTCCAAGAATAGCAAGCGCTGGACTAACAGAAAAATGGGGACATGATTCTATCTGCTGCATTATCCAACCACTGCTAGGACTTTATTCCCTCTCAGATTCACAACAATACGACTCTTGACTAGAATTAAACTACTAGTAAATATTTGCACTACCGTACCACTACTTTTAGCGGTAGTACAGACGACTACATTGCTTTTTCTAAGCCCTTTAATCTGGATATGCTCATCACTATCACAAAACTAAAATAAATTAACAAGGATGTGCGCCTGTGCTAGAAGCAAATGAGAAAATTGGTTCACTGTGTTCAACATAACGATGCTATGGAAAAGATTATTGCATCTGGAAGAAAAAGACAACTGAGGCTCTAGCTCTCCTCTTTTCCTATTTCATCATTAATATATTTAAACAAAATACTTAACTGCAGTAATGGTGTGCACCGACACCTGTCAGTTTCACATAAATCAGTAAAACGAATTTAGAAACCTTCTTCAGTTCAAAGCCTTCCCAATGCTAGTGCTAAAAACTAACAAATACTGCTGCTCTATTTCTTTAAAAGATCTTTAAACCTTAAAGGTGACTAATGACAACAGTGTTATCACCCTTTAGCCTGATTTAGTCAGATTTAAGCAGGGTAAGCCCAAGTCAATACTGGAATAGAAGACCTACTACTCATAGTACTGAAAAGGGAAACCAGGTTTCTGCTGTAGGTGGTGTGGGAAGATCAGTAGGTAACACTTTTCCTTCTGGACTGAATTTCTAAGACGAGACCCAAAATTGAGACATGGTTTTTGTACTGTAGAGGGTGCTGTTCTTCAAAAGAACCATTAAGCACGAGCCAACTTGGTTATTGAAACAGCACTGTTCAAAAGAGAAGGAGTATTAACATTAGTGTCCTGTGTAAATTCTTATTTGGGCTTGCACAAACTAGCCTCCCTAAGTTTCCCCATTAACACAACTGTCTGAGCAGCAAGGAAATTAATACTGCCACACCCAGCTCAACCACAACAGCTCCTTTAAACCAACAGGATAATGGAAAGCTGAAGATGGAGTGGTGTGAAGAA